ATTAGTAGATGAAAGACACACATCAATCGGAACACGAGAAATTCAGTGATTTCATTCACTTTTGTTGATTATCACAAATTTATCACTCAGTCCTGCCCTTTCCCACAGTATCGAACATTTTCTCGATGAGTTTTATTTCAGTTCTCTCAATGTTTTTTGTTTTGTTTTTTATTGATTCTTTATTATCTATATCTTGCTAAATTCGAATTCAATCCTGTGATCTCCGTAATTTCTCACTATCTGTCTATGTATTTGTGTAAATCCGCCTTACATCAATCAACATTGACTTCTGGTTAATACTTCTATGTGAATCACACGTCAATATGCGCTGATATTGTAATGGTAATTCATATATGTATATATGTATGTATTTTTCTGTTATTTAATGCAATGATTGTAATTTTGTTTTGTTTTTCTTTCAAAATAACAAACTATAAATCCTTCTAATCGAACATACAACTTATCTGCTTGTACGCTTATACTTTCTGTTTGCTTTGCTCATGTTTTCTTTTTTTTTATCAACTTGTTTCGGTGTCAATGTTTGCTAACCTAATTATATGTGTATGTTTGTGCACGCTAACCACTCTATGATATATACTTGCATTATGCGTTACTAACCATCTAATCTACTTTATTTTGTTAAGTAATTAATACAGATCATTGATAACTGGATGTATTCATTGATATATAATTATTGGTACTTCTTCATTGTTTTATGGATTTTGTCACTTATTATTGTTCTTATTGTCGTCGTTATTTTGGTCTGTTGCACACTTCCATTATTGTGATCACCGTTGTGACAACCGGTTTTATCAATAACATTGCTTTCTTGCACTACTACTACTTAGATATGTGCTCTTCATTCTTCTTGGTCTGTTGTTTTTATTATTCTTAATGTATTTCGAAAGTTTCAAAGAAAATGAAATTACCAAAGAATACTTTTATTTTTCATTCTCTCAATTTATAAGTAGGATGATTTCGTTCATAAAATGCACAGCCACATAGATTAGTTGTTCAGTTACTGTTTGCAAAACAATTAAAGTTACATGATCTATACACAATGTGTAACTTATCTATGCATATGTATGAAATAGTTGTATATATGAGATGTATGCATATATATATTCTAAAGATATATGTTTGTTTTGACGAATTCTGCATGATTGTTTATTAAAAAATGTTGTAATTTTATCATGTCGATCTTTGGAAGTTGTTAGATCTCATCTTTGTTGTTATTTTTTTCTTGTACAACACAGTACAAAATATACTGCTCCTAATTAATGCATTGTATACTACGGTTAATGACATTATTATTATTATTATTATTATTATTATTATTATTATTATTATTATTATTATTATTATTATTATTATTATTATTATGCTAATCCAAATGACATATTTCTTTATTTCAGCTTCAATGTGTAAAAGTTTTTATATTTAAAGTAGTATGAGCAAAATAATATTAGTAATTATTATTCAAAATGAATACTTTTCTTTACTATCCTCTGTTTAGCAGCAAGGAGCTATAAAGTGTAAGATTGATTGTTCATGACATTGACAACTCTGATACTCCTACTATATCCGTGAATTGTGAATTAAGTACCTACATCTTGAATCACAGACCCCCATCACCGGATACAATAAACCACTTTTAGAAAGGAACATTTAGTGAACATATTATATGTGAGGATTTAAATGATCTCATTGATATATAATATAAGCATCATACTCAGTGAATATGTTAGTGGCTATCCGGATTCATTGACTCAATGGATACTCCGTTGGTGTTCAAAGTAAAAGACATTGGATTCCAGTCTCTGTGTTAAAATCAATATGAGAATGGGAATCCATCCTGCTGATAAGTCCCAGTTACGACTAAACTTTCGTTCTGGATTCTAGTGTTGACCATAGTTCATCTATTCTATAAAACGTTTGCTGAACTTTTAATTCATAATAAGTTATAGATGGTTGCGACAAAGCTACCTCTTCAAGTTGTCTGTTTTAACGATTATTGGAATTCATTGGGCTTTTTCTCATTAAACTAATTAATTCATCATTAGAGCTTATCTTTTAAAAGAAAGCCTATAATATTCTAAAATGAAATCACTTTTTACTTGTCAGTTGCATTTTATAAACTATTGTTTCCCTAGTAATGTTTTTACTGTTTATTGTTTGTTTTATTGGTGTTTTGTGCCATTTTACAGTAAAACGTACTAATATTTTATTGTCGTTTATCTTTAATCCCCCTCCCATTGTATTAATCCCTAAATTTATTTATTTAATTTCTCATACACTTTAATGCATAAACAAAATGTAATCCATATCTCAGCCAATAAACATTGTGCTGGACACAGGAATAACTGTCAAAGTTCTCATATTTTATTTGAAGTTCGCATTTTTAAATTTGAAAAAAATGAATGTTTGGTAAACTTTGTTCTAATTGGAAAAACGTCGAATTAATCTTTGGCTACTGACAACTTGCTTGAAGATGAGTTCTACATTGTTAACTTGTCTCCTGAAGTCTTTTAAATTCTTGATGAAATTTAATGCTCTCCTGCAGCGGCAAATTTTAATTTTGTCACAAAATTCCGATAATATAGAATGTGAATTATTATATTGCGTTCGAGTGAATACACCCTATCTTATTTCCAGTTACATTGTTAACGATTTTACCTAATATTTATTGAGAAATGTTCACTGTTACATTGTTACAAAGTAGAATAACAGAAATTCCCTGTATTGTTAGGTCTTCAGTGATATTTCTAACTGTTAACAGTTAGAAATCTTTATAACAGATATGATAATATTATTAATACTTAATATTACTGAATACATTTTCCAGTAAAATTTTGTAACTGGTGACATAGTTGCAATACTTAGTGATAAGTCAAAACCATTCATATAATGATTAGTGTATATTCTAGAGTCTGTTTACTTATCATATACGGAAAGTTAATATAAGATGGTGGCTGGAAGTAGTCAACAGGAAACCCTGGACCCGGGTTTCGTGCTATTTGGCACTCGATAACATTCGATCTGCACTAAGAAGGACTTGACACACAAAACATTGATCACCACCCAGTGATCAATCAGTTGTAAAAAATTAATATATTTGTGTAATTAACTAGTGATAAAATAATGACACATTTGTAATATCCCAATAAATGGAAGGTAGATCGCGACTTCAGACAATAAATAATCAAATTAGTTACTTAGTCAGTCGCAACATAGGAGCAGGCACTGAATTAAATTACTATACTATTTAAACATGTGTTAATTTAATTCACTTATTAATTTTCTCATTGAAAGAGCATTCTTAGCCATGTTAGGATATCTATATCATTAGGCTATGACAAATATATAATTATTTACCATTTATCTAATACCAAGTTTGTCTTCCCGATTAGTTGTTAAAAGGCAAGCTCAAAATAGATCATAATCATTGAAACAAAACATTTAGTACAATGAATAATTTTCTCTGTAGAAATTAGATATTTCATTAACATTCATTTATTTATACCTACGCTCAAAAGAATTATCAGCAATTATAAGCTTCTACTACAAAGAAAATCTGGCTACAGTATTCACTTATTAACAGCTGGCTTTTCTGTACTTTATTTTACGGATACATTCCAGTGACAGGTTGATTGCGGAAATTAAACAAAAAGTCATGAAATTATACATTTTATAAACCATAGTTTTTTTCAGCAATCATCTCATCGGTTATCGAGACAACTAACAAAGTTCCACCAATCGATACTCATACGAAATAGTGTTTTTCTCATTAATTGACCACTACTTGTGTAATTTTAGTACTGTGTTGACATATTAGTGAATATCAATGCCGTCAAATATTTGCTGAGTATATATGACCAAGGAAATGATATCTTTACACTAAAATAGTTTCCATGTATTAGCAGTTCTTATTTCCAGTTGTCTTTTTCAAAAAAAAATAATTGAATCTCTTTTACCTATTTGCTGATCGGTTGCCTGAAGTTTTGGTGAATTCAAATTTATTCACAATTTTATACTTACGTAATTATCACAATATGTGATTGTTTGTTCTGTTTTTGCAGTTTTTTTCCACTAGTTTGATGTCATAAACCATTATATTTCATTTATATACACAGGTTTATGTTTTTATTTGACCTGATCTTCGGAATAGATGTTTGTGCTAATCGCAGCTGCTAATATTCAATCGTTTGTTGCTGTGGTTACTACTATTACTGACCATATGACATTAAGCTTATTCATTTCGTTTCGCGTTCTTTTTGTGGAGTATTATCTTTTTAGGATTTTTTTCTCACTCTAAAAGTGATTTAATTGTTGTGATGAACGTTTGTTTTTTAATTGCTGAATGAATCAGTGATTTCGCCAATCACGTAGTTTTTGTAGAGGATTATTCAAATTATAAACTGTATGTGGTTTTCCATTTATACACTAGTATTGATTATGAAATGTTACATGGTTGACCTTTATAGCTCCTAATTCAATACTCATAAGAATTAGTTGTGCTGATTACTAAGTAATTTCGAATTTAAATGTAGACTTTGTCAACTCCTTCCTAGTTTTTGTTTTAGTACTTGAAGATTATTACTTGTTTTCTATGCATTTTTCCACCTTTTTTATTAAAGCCATTATCATAACCATCACTGTGTATAATATATACTTGTCTGACTATTTGTATAACATCTATTGCATCTCTCATCATTCATCTTGTGTCATCCATTATATCTTATGTAACTTTCTTCTACTGACCGACGAACTTCATGAATAAGTGTAACATAAAATGACAGAGACATCGAATGCAGATAATCAACAATAACTATGTAAGATAAGTTCTTGTCTTTTTTTGTAAATAAAATTAATAATTAGATAATTTTTTCACTATTTTAGATTTTAATTATCTTTAGATGTACTTTCCAATTTCGTCTTAGGTATTTCGTACAATTTTTCTACTATTTTCAGTATTATTTTTATGTATTTTTCATCTTAAGTGGATAGTGATATTTCTAGAAAACTACGTGAACGTGATTTTGCTATTGAAGAACTTATCAACACTGAATTAGCCTATAATAATAGTCTTATTGAAGTGAGAGATGTAAGTTTGTTCAAATTGCTTTTTTTGTCTCCATATTTTATTTAAATGTTTGAAACTGTTCATATTTATATTTCATTTGTGTAATATATGAAACATCTAAGTTTACAAGTTTAATAGATTTCACTTCAAAATTGACCATATCCTTTGTTGTAATTATGTGATCTAATATATCATAAATAGTTAAATGTTAACTGAGTAGTCATTGTCATGCGTCAACGATACTTTTCTGAATTTCAATACTGGTTTTTTGAAATTTTGCTGCAGCAAACTATTATGTGGTATATTTTTTACATGTTAATATGCACAATTGATATTAACTGGTGTTAAAGCTAAATGAATTGGTATTCATGATAAAATATACACATGAATTAGTTTCAAAGCATCACTTTACAATTAAAAATTAATAAACGCAGACTATATTTTGTTATACTGTTATTTCTTTTGTTCTTTAGTGAAGATCACGAGTAGCTTGTTAATTAATCAATGAATCAGTCGCATATTTCATGGTTATTTCACTGCATAAGTTACATACGTTGAACGTCTATTAAGCCATATGTGCAATCCGCTTATAACACTTGATTTATTTTATCTTGGAATAAGACGATGTTATCGAACACAACACAAAAAACTATGTTCCGTATTAGATTTAAGATATGATGACAGATTTCAACAAAGCTGTACTTGTTTATTTACTTAATCATCAAAATAGTTGCGACAATCTTGACCATGTAATTACAAGTAAACATTCATTCATTGACTGGGATTTCTAATTACTTCACTGTTAATTATGAAATTTTCTCTCTATTTATGGTTTACATTAGGTTTTCTATAAACCAATGAAAGCATCAAAAATGTTAACTTTGCAACAATTGGACGATATTTTCCCTCATTGGAATGAGTTGATCGATACTTCGACTGAATTTTGTCAGTAAGCTAAATAATTCAGTTTATTTATCAATGATCCCTAGGGATCATTTACAGTATATTTTTTATATATATGTCTAGTCTCATTTCTTGTATTCACTGTCTTAATCTCATCTGACTGTGCTAACGGGATACAAGACTTCGATGCTATATCCCCAGAAATCACCTAGTAAATTTCTCTTTTTTGTAATTTTACTTTGGAAATTTGGTGCGGAAATATACTTACGTTCTAGTCACGTATTCTTTGTTTGAATTGTGTTGAAGTCCTGTAGAATAGACACTGGGGGGTATCCGAGCGTTATAACAGTTTTCCATGGACATTTTTGTGCTGTATATATGCGCATGAGTTCTCTGTTTGTTTGTTCGTGCTTCCAATTGCTTGTGGAATATTCATTTCCCTCGACTGAATCTGATATTTTCCCTCTAGATAACAGAGCTGCGGGTCAGTGGGATAGCTTAGCTTGTCCTGTTGTTGTGTTGCTGTCTTTCACTCCGTTCGCCAGTTTTAGAAGATATCGTAACCCTTTCAAACGTAGCAGAAACTTAACCACATCTTTCACTACTAACTCTGTGTTGATCCGCTCCAGTAGTCATCACTTTTTATTTCCCAATGGATTAGAATAAATAAACTAATCTCAATACTTTTTATCAATCGTATATGTTAATTATTAATTGCTTCGAAATACTTTATCTATATCACTGTCCTGATATACATATATATGGAGGGAGAGAGAAAAATATAGAGATAGGTAGATAGGTAACTTTCTTATTTTAAATTAGTATTATATTAATATTGGAAGTAACAGAGAGAGATGTAAGTTTTATTTTTCTTCATATAACTAGTTCACTTTATAAATTTGAATCAAGTAGCACCAACAACAGTTGATTTTAATCATTCGAATTATCACTTATTCAGTCATTGTACAAGAGAACGTAATCTTGTGACTTCTCGGTTGTTATTCAAAAATTCGTTAATAGATCGATTGATCAGAGACATTCGATCAATTCATAGTTGGGTTTTTTTTCTCTTTTTTAACTGAACTTTGATTTTTATACTATTTGTTTAATTAGTTGTCATCGTAAAGGATCGTTTTGTTTTATCAATGAGATCATTTTTGTTATTATTTTGTTTGTTTCTTAGTGATTTGAATGATTATGTTAAAAACGATTCATCTGATCAGTCGATTAGTCAAATCCTTTTAAAACATGTATGTAAGTGTTTTTTTATTCCTTATTGTCAGTATTTTCCAGATTATCTTATCATTTTGATGTTGTCGATTCAGCAATATTAAAGCTTGCTGAAATTAACCAATTGCCATCGAATTATATACGATCAAGAAATATTTTATCTAAGCTACCCTCGTACAATTGGTACATTATCACAAACACATAGCGTACAACTGTACAACAGTAATAAAGAACGTCAGAAGTTGGCAGATAGCTAAAGCTTTTAATCATATCCCTTCAAACTCTGATGCATTATTGTCCTCGTCAACTGTCATGAAATGATAGCTACTCAATAAAAGAAATTGATCACCACTAAAAAATTAATTTTATGAGTACGTACGTAAAATAAAACCATTAATAAAAACGATCTTCAATCCTTCCATCTAACAACAGTTCTTACTGATTTCTGTACGTTGATGGTCATTAGGATTCCCTGTAGTCTTTTATGCTGGAAATTATGTTTTATAACTGTTATTCTGCATTACAAGCATTGTCTATGTTCTGTGTTTCTTTTTTTAACTGTATATCATATCTCTAGATTATTTAAATTCTTTCAACATTTTTGTCTTAATCATTGTCTTTGATTTATTTCATTTACATTGTAGATGATTAAATTTAAAGTCTATCGTCTATATTGTACGCAACAACGTGTTGCATGTGAAACTTTACAACATTGTCTATCATCTAATTATCGTTTAAATCAATTGGTAAAAATATTTGAAAAAAATACTAAAACGAAAGGTTTACCCCTGTCTTCATATCTATTGAAACCAATGCAACGTATAACAAAATATAAATTAATCGTTGAAAAGGTATGTTTTATAATCATACATTATTAAAGAGTCATATACATAGATGTCACATCAAAATCTCTTAAATAAGCTAAAATGCTCATCAGAAATTATTAATTGCATGATTTGTGTTTTCCTATTGTTGATATTTACGAAATACGTAATCATTCTCTATTGCCGCATAAACATTTTCAATGAATGTCTTGATATTGTTTACTTACGTTTACAAGTTGATATTTTACGATAGTCGTTGACAGAGATACTCGTTATTTGAAATGGCCCATCTCTTAAGACTTCAGAGTTCTATTCTTATAGATATCATTTGACCACCCTATCTCCCAATGAAGATTCATCAACCCAGTCCTGATTATAATGCTTTTTGGAATAGTTATTGCCTGTTCCCTAGTGTTCGAAGCAGGTAGTAGTGCGTTATTGGGATGCAAGTAAGCTCAGTGACGGGATTCCCAAAGAAGATCGAGATTTTTCTTGAAATTCATCTTATGATTAATGTATGAAGGATGTATTGTGTTCATCGTCTCAATATGTGATAAGGTTACTGAGTTTTTAATTTTTTACTTGAATCATAGTATAGGTGTTGGTCGGATGATGGTTTTTGTCGTGAATAAAGTTATGCATATTAAAAAACAGAATAATGTGTTAATTCTTCTGCCAAATATGACACTTTCACAACATACTTGTTTGTAAATCATTATGCACACCTTGTTGTTTCCATCAGCGCTTGTTAGATTAGGTCATTTCACTTTCATAATAGTTTACTTCAAATAGATCGATCATACTGATTTCAAATGATGAAATTATTCATTATGGACCACTTGCTTACATAGATTTGCAAGATATGCATTTTTTGTAAATATTTACGTACTAAGTACTGTTTTGTAGTCATGAGGGATGTCATTTCATACAACTTTACTCAAAATGAAAGTTTCAGTTGTTTAGCTTACGTCTGTGGATTTCATCCGTATGCCTAGAAGTCTGGAGGACCCTTATTCATTAACCTCGAGACTTTACCATCGAAACCTTTATGGTTGATACTTTGACTTATGGTGTGTTGTAAGTATGACAATAAAGGCTAATACAAAAAAGGAGATAACTCCGAATGCAGTTCAAACTCAGATTTTTCGTCCTCCTCGTTTAAACCGTCGTTATAGTAAATTTTAATTATTTGACACTGTATAATATGATTGTTTAAATTATGAACAATATGCTACAGAGTAACGAAAACTTAATATGTACAATAAGAAAAGTCATTCAAATTAATCGAATTTCTACATTGAAGTTTTTTTCGTCTTGCATTTGTGTATTTTTTGCTATAGGTTGAATATACTTTTGTAATATAACGTCGATATATGATGTCATTTAACTTCTATATCTAGTGTTCATTTCTTTCTTAAATTAGATTGCAACAAATACGCCTATTTCATGTCCAGACTACGATGAAGTTGTTAAGGTGAATAATTTGATGTCTGCTCTTTTAAAGTCAATCGATCATGCAATTGGATCTAAAGATAACCCTAATCGTATCGACTGGTTCCGTTCACGGTTGATTGGTGCTGATAAATGGCTTTTAGATTGGTTATCCGATAATACAGCTCAACATCCTCATGACAGGCCATGTTTAGTTCATTGTGGTACACTTTATAAAGTAAGTTGTGATCTTTTTATTTTATTGTATGATTATAACTTGAAGAATTGTCATGTTCCTCTACGGCGTTAGTATTCTGTTTCGACTTATAAAATGTTTCTCATCGCTACTTTGAAATAATTTCAAGTTTCTGAGCATACTGTCTTGTACAAATTCATTTGATCTAACGATCACTATTTTTTAGCTTTATTCATTAAAAAACACCATACTAGGACTAAACGGCCGTCCAGTGCTTCCAGGTTTTCAATAGTGGTCTCGCTTAGATCGACTCATGAATTCAACTATGAATAAAAACATCTGTTTTTGCCATTATATTTTGATATGCCACAGATAAACCAGTGTTCTGTTATTGTCTTTAATATTGTTTCTTAATACCCCTATCATAGTTACTTTCATTTATATATTCTTTGTGTTATTCATTATGTGTATGCTAGTGATTGATTTCAATTGCGCTGAAATTGTCTCCTGAGTCACCTTTTAGAGTAATTAAGGTGAAATCATCCCCTTCACATGCCGGATTATGTTATGATGTTTTTGCATGTTAATTTTCCGTTGTAAAACAAAATGTATATACTAAGTTAAATGTCTCAACCTTCATCCTTATAAAAATCACTATTTTTAAGCAAAAATGTATTTTTAACATAAATTTTCTATCATTTATTTTTCTCAGGCTAAAAACAATCGAGAATTTATTTGTTTCTTATTCAACAAGTATTTGATTTTAACTACACCAAATTATAATACTAATGGACGGTTATTTGAATTTCCGTCTACAAATCAATTGAATGAAATAAAATGGTCGTTTATATTATACAAAGAACCATTAGCATTGAATCAAGTGAGTAGTATCTGATTGGTTATAATAAGTGTAATTTTTACTTTCTACGCAAATAACTATGTGAATAAATTATTTATTAATCATAGTAAATCTCTTAGTGACAAGTATCAATAAGTAGTTTGTTTTGAATATAAGTGTATGTGAGTATATATATATATACTAACCAATGGTTTGTTTGTTATGAATATGCACAGCGAAATTTACGTAATATATTTTAGTTTATAATACGATCGATAAACAAATTAGTGAATGTGTGTAATATAACTTTTTTGATGCACACTTGACATTCTGTTCAAACATTTGGTTCATTTGTACTGTACTAAATATTACAAATAAATTACGTGTTTTAAATTCGAATAATTATGAATGTTAACTGTGTGTACTCACGAGTAATTATAAACAGCCTATAACCTATCTTGATCTTTAATGCTATGGAGCTCATTTGTAACTATTGATTTATCTTCTTTATTCTCTATCCTTGGAAGAAGAAAAAGAACTATATATAAATACATTAAAATTCATGTAGAATAAAAAGTAAAGTAGCCGAACTTGTAGAATACTTTCATCATTAAAAAATGAACGGCAGAATTTGACTGTGGAACCATTTTGAGTATAAATTGTTTATTTAATTGATTACAGGTTGAAACCATACTAACTAGAAATTCGTTGTTATATTGAACGATTAGTGCTGAGATTTTTTTTGTTTTCACAAAATTCATAATAAGGAACTAAGAAAGCCATTAATTATCGTCATTATAATTATTAATATGGTTTTGCGGCGAACTTCGAATACGTTTCAGATTTCTTCTTCCATCAAAAACTGACATCGTTACAAAAAACATCAAAAGAACGAAGGGTGGACAACTATTTTCTAATTCTTACATCCTTATGTATCAGATCGAATGCAAGCCTGGCAACGATTTGGAACCCAACACTTCACTTTTCCCAATTTTCTGTGATCTCTGTTATTTATATATAAAATTTTAATATTTTTTCAGTTGTTTATCGGATGATCGGTGAGTAACGAAGCAGGGGGAATGAGGATTTCGAAACGAATTACCAAAGTTGGGGATTATTGGTTGTTTTTTGGCATTCACTTGTTGTTGTCTGATAAGTTATATTATCTGGATTGAATGCTTATACATTCAAATGCAAGCTTTAACTCTTTAGATCATGTATTAAATCATTTAGTCTTTAAAATCTATCGGTTGTGAATTGAGAGTTATTTCAGTGAGTAAATGTTCTGTGCAGTCATCCCAGTCATTGCTTTATTTTATAGTCTATTGTGTAGTTGTAACAACTAACGATCTTTCACTTCTGTCTTTTGTAACAACAGTGAATTATTTGCAACGTTGTGTTAAATATTTTGACGATACTGATTCAAGTATATGTAAATAGAAGTGTTTACCATAGGGTCGATCAGGGATTTCGAGTTATTTTAAAAAGTAGAAGATCGAGTTGTCATGATAAAATATTATTTACTTGATACTTTATGTATTGCGATTTTTAGTTTTTAGAAAATAAGTTACATAAATGTTTACTGTACTTCATCAACACTTCCCGTTTGAGGATAAATTAAACAAACATGACATAAGAGTGTATTTTCGGGCTTGTGACACCATAAGATCAGCGTTAGTGAAAATTAAGAATAGCCATTCAGAGGAAAAAGTACAACAGAATGTTTATGAAATCAACTGTCATGATTGTAATATAGCTTGTGTGGGGGAAATGCCAATACGATTGGATGTGAGGTCGAAAGAACACAAACAATGTTTGAAAAATGTTCGCAAATCCTCGGTTGATCTAAACAAACATCGACAATTCAGAAACAATTTCAACCTTCAAACTGAACTCTTATTGTTACTTCATGTAAAAACAAATTAACACCTAATATCAACTATTAAGAACTCAAGCTTACACATACACACATGGTTCTTTCATTCATTTTTCTTCACAATGTGAGTTTTCATATTCTCATATAACTGACTCATATTATCCTGTTTACTAGAGTCAACATCTAAATATGATTGGAATTATCACAGTAAATATTTGATTTAATTGTTAAGCATTACATATTTCTTTGATAATTTTGATTTTGATTATTACTCTGAAGGAGTCCAGACAAGTTTGTAGAATGAATCGAAATTGTTTAAATCTCAATCACTGAAATTATTTTAAATATAATTTTCACATTTAATGACTTCTCTATAGTCTGCGCTCAATTTTTGTCAAACTATTCGTTCTAATATTGACGAATATTCGTATCTTGTTATTTTAGAAACAGTATAGCATTTATTTTCAATGCGTTCGTCTTTAATTAAACGTTTCTTATTGTAATTCGTTTAGATATATGTATTTAAAGGTTCATTCAGACAAAGCACTGAATCAACATCTTCAGTTTTTAGTAGTTATTCAATAACACCTCAATCAGCACCATACAATAAATCTACAAATGATGAACTTGTACGATCAGTATCCACTTCTACATTAGCTGAATCAATTGAAAATCCCAATATTAATATTAGACGTCAATCTGAAATTGTAAAATATTCAACGACAAATGTATTCTCATTATTTAAACGAAGAAATTCTTGGCAACCTATAGTGACTTTAAGGGCTCCATCGAATGAAATTTGGTAATTTTATAACTTTTATTTAGTTTATACACTGTGCTGTTATTTGTTTTGATGGTAGCCAGTCGAAAACATCGGACTCGGATCATATTTTCATTAAGTTTTTTTGTCAAGTGTATGTGTAACTTATGAGGTCATTTTATATTAACCCTGGTCATCAAGTCCTAATTCTTACCAGATCAGTAATCTAATATAAATCGATGATCCTCTTAACATCTGGAATCGTTGTAATCTCAGTAAGATAAATTTTATGGTCTGAAACGTTTTACTCCTGAGGTTTCAACACTGGTGTCATTTCGTAGTTTTACATCACGGACTTTCAACAACCATTGTAAAACAGGAATCTCTAGATAACTGTTTTGTCGTAATGTGGGACTCCTCTGAAGTTGCGTATTCATGATCCCGAAAGGGATTGGACTCAGGACCTTCAGGCTTCACACATCATAACTGCTCAACTGAATTGACATCCGATAGTTTACGTTTCTAACTCGAATCTGCTAGGGATATTTTGTGTCAATTATTCATTAGCTGGTGAAATTTGTCTCAGACCAGATACTATTGAACATTAATTGTCATAGTTTCTCACCTCTTGAAATTGTTCCCTAGTAAGTGTATAAGGATATTTCAGTATAGACGGTTGTTCATATGTTTAGACTTTGTAGTTTTACATTATGAACTGATTTATTTAGATTATTTCGGAAGTTTACTGAAGTTAAAGATGTCCACTGGCAATGATAGCATTTCCAACAGATCAATAATGATATTAACGTAAATACAGAATTAGTAAATTATCTTTCTTTACGTGTGTGTACAAACATCCTCTTATTTTTTTTGCATATAAATCACATAGTGATCTTTGGGTGTTAATTTTGAGAGATCAAATTAAAGCTGGAAGCAATTTGTCTAATTCACACCCTTCTTATTCACCATGTAAGTTAAATCTTCTATATGGCTTTTTTTAATATTACGTAACATAATTACAAGCTGTAACACATCCAACGTAGTCATTTAAACGCATATTCTTTTTCTCACTTTCCCGAGTCTCAGTTTGTCCAACAAGTGTTAAAAGAATTTTTCGCTGACATATTCCGTTATGTATTGGATTGTTCTGCTTAACTTAAAATTTGTTTCGTTTTTATCATTATTTTACATAACTCGTTCTAAACTATCAAGTACAAATTCGTTTACTTGGCCTCCGTCACTCTAATTATGTGATCTAGGGATAATGCTTTGTTCCCCAACCTAAAGTAGTTAGACTAACGTTGAGAATATGTAAGTCGAACACTTTGACCGCCTCCATCGCATAAAACCCTCATCATTTTTAATCACTAAGACCATAATTAATATCATTGACACAAGCTGTCTGTGTTATTCAATGGAGTTAAATATGTTCGACTATATCAAGATCGAATACTAATGAACTTTACGAACCTCAGGACTCAAATGCCAATAAGTTAAAATTTATTTCCGTTGGAACCTTACACATCAAACAGATATTCATTTCAAAGTTTGTTGGAAATTTGGCACTGAATTTTCCGTTTCTAATTAAGGAAAATAGTACACATTAAATCATATTGTAGTGAAAATAAATAGCTTATGAAATTTAAAACCATCATTCGTCATAGATATTCATATTTGTTCAATGTTGATATTCAAGGTTATTTTTCTACCCCGCATTTACTTATATTTCCTTTCCGACATTCAAAATTATGGTCATATTCCTTAGTTTGGTCAAATAAATGATTAGTTCTTTTCTGGTCAACTTCGTCAATTAATCTGTTTCTTTTCACGATTCAGTTCTAATTTTAGAAACCATGTAACATACATACTTCGCGTCCATTTGTTGCGTAGGTGTTAGTCAATAATATATTGAACAAAGAAATTGATAGACATGTCAACTTAATATACATAAGTAAACCAAATAATTTTCCCTGGTAGTCACCTATGTGACAGTTTGTAGCTGACGGTATCTGTCGCATTCTCATCGTCATAATAATGTTTTATGTCCAGTACTTTCGTCCATTTTTCCCCTACCAAGTAAGTGACTCCTGCCTTATCAGAGTATAGTTTTCACTAGTGATTTCATTTCAAGCTCTAGTTTTCAATCTGTTTGTATGTATTGATCCTGGATTTTCGGCTACGTTATACTGACATATCCATAGCAGATAAGTGTGCATGACTCCAGACGCTTAAAATGAAATCTTTGATGTAATTATATTTTAGTATCTAGTACTCATCCCTTAAACGAATGGGAAAATCACTGAAAACGCCTGGTATAACATTATACCTCATCATTGAAAGCGTGACAAATAACGTTACACTAATCTGTTTGACTGTCCATTGAGATCTGGATCAATCCTATGCTGTGTTTTAATTGTTCTATTCGAAAATCAGGCAGATATTTCGAATGTACGATCTATATCTAACTCTAACATTACTAATATTAATAATAGTAGTGGTACTAATCCAGTAAATTGAATAGTATACCTCATATTGATTAACTCTAAACTTTATTAACTTTCCCACCACCATTAGACAATCCAAACCCACCTATACGTTTTTGTTTCCTTTCAACGACTCCTTGCTAACATTTATTCTCTAAATACTGAGTTATCCTCACTTTTTGATGTTTTCTTTTTCTTTTACACTTTTATTTAAAGCATTGAAAAATGAATACCCACAACATTTACTGTTTACGGTTTCAAAAGTTTGCACTAACTCACAAGGTATCTCGTAATGTTTATGAAGAGTAATCCGATATTTTTTAAATAAACCCTTTCCAATAATCACTGATTCACTACATTGTTTTCTTACAATCACCCAGCTAGTATAACCCATAACTGTTAATTTTGCTTGTAATTTGCGATATTTCTAGAAAATGTAATGTAGCTTAACAATCTATGCTGTGTCTGATTAGTGAGAGGAGACAGATAGCACATCTAATGCATCATATATATTTGACTCAATTTAAATTTTAAATTACTTCATCCAGGTTTGTATTTGTACTAATCTTGGTTAAACAGTCGAACTATTGTCCGCGGCCACGTGATTTAGCTTTCCAAAGTTATGACAGGATGGTTTATCAACTAAGGTTATTTCAGCATTCGACGTTCTTAGCAAATCAGGATATCTATCTAATCTTATTTCGAATACATTACAATTTATTATTCGCTCGACTATTTTCCAAATTTGAAGTTGTATAGTACTATTTTCTTGATGTAGACTTGAAGATGTGTAAAGTTTACTGATCTTATTGACACTCATTTGTATTCTTGGTAATTATTTCTTATAAACTACTAAACCGTATGCTCTAAATTATAAAATACTCTCAGTCTTTGAAGCTTTAGATCTAAACACTCAAATAATTTGTTCTTACCAAAACAAAAAGTATGTGAAGCATATTTACAAAATACCAACCTCTGGGATGTCTCATGGTAGATTATCACAGTTGCTGAATTCTCAGAATCTAGTTAGCAAAAGGAAAGTCCAATAGGTATCAAATTTTGTTTTATAAAAAACCAAAACACAAAATTTGGCAACTTAATACCGCTGCAGATATCCACTTATCTATTTGTTAATTATAACGATTGAATTTCTTTATTTTCATCTGAATTAATTGTCGCTGAATTAAGTGCACTTCATGAGCTACTGTACATTTTTTTGTTTTAACAAATAAATAACCCTAAATATTATTCATATTTTGTTTAGTCTCACCCCTTTTTCATTTTATTTCAGTTTGTTTTTCGTACTGTTTAAAAATGTTGGCACATAGAAGACTATTCATCATTTTATCACTTCAATAATTCATTAAACAAAACACTTCTTTTATCTTATTAATAATTTAGATAAATATATTATGTTAGTCTGTTTTTCTTCTACATTTATTTCATTTCAGATCAATTTGAAGTTCACTTCAAGATCAGTATTACTGATCAAATGTGGAAATTTTGTCAAATATTTGCTAATCAATCATTAATAGAATTTAAAACTTCTGAAACGTTAAATTTTCTGATACCAGAATCTTTAGAAAAGTGTTTACATATCACTGCCTTCAAATCGTTACCATTTACTAATTCAAGTAGGTGATTTTGTTTTGCTGTTCTTTTTTTATTGTTCCACTTCTTATATCAATATCTTCAACCTACTTCTTTGGTTTAAAATTAATAACTTTGATTTTCAATGTAATTGACGTTGAATAACATCACTGAATTAAGCATTTTAGTGCAATTGTTTGGAAATACATATTTTAAGAATTCGTAACAAAAAACGAATGTAGAATTTTATATGGCTGGTTTACACATTTTATATTTGCATTTAGCGCGTATAATATCATTAGCTCACAAATTTATACTTAGTTGTTGAGTTATTTTTTCCAAATCATATAGAGAGTATTAATCTTCAAACTCATTAACACTCATGGACTAAGTCATATGAAGTTCTTGATTAAAATCTGTACAATAATCTTGATCAGTCAGTAAAGACATTTCTCAAAGTCAGTCCCAGAAGGCCGCATACATTCATCCTTTGTGTTCCTTTAGATATTCATTCTCAACATAATATCGTAATTTGTATCTCACAAATTCATTCCTTCTGTACAAATCATATTCTCATATATTTAATCTTTTTTCTTGATTACTGGCACAATACACAATTATGCCGACCTCTTTTTTCTATGCGCCTTATTAATGTCATCTCGCTGTGTTGAGCCAATGCACAAATTTACCCTGAGTCCTATGCTGTTTTAACTAATTACACTTTCAATATAATTTATGTGTGTAATAGTACTATTATAAATATCTATATTTTTTAATATATGCTCATTTATTCTATGGACACTTTATAAAGCATCACTGTATTAATTTAATCTTACTCTATATTACTATTTAGATATAATTGGATCGTGTATTGTACCATTTTCAAATATATTCATTAATTTTCCACCAACTTCAATTGAATCATTTACTAAACAAATTGAATTGAATCAGTCTATTGGTATGAAAATGGAATTCATCATAGAACTTACTGTTTAACATTGTCAGTGATGATAATAATAATAATAATGATGGAATAATTAGTAAGAATAATAATAATAATATATTAATCAAATCCAATTCCAAATAGAATGCTATTTACTTTCTTACTCTCATAATTATATGACGTATTATCGTTAAGTTTTATTTTATTCCGAAGAGGCTAAACAAAATTATCAATTTGATTTTTATCGATCTCTTCTACATATGGTTCGTTCTTGATAATTTTATAGATGTACTCTTTTTCTCATCATTGACTCATTTACATAAACCTTCATAGATTGATATACTTACATGTACATTGTGCTTAGTGTTCATACTGTTTCCCATTTTTCACAAATTTACTCCATATTTTAATAATTTAATGTACAAAATTAAGATCTCCTTTTAACCTTATCTGTTTGTTCGCTTTCTTTTGTAATTTATGATCTTAATTTTTTGTCAATAAAATTTTACCAATGATTCTTTTATCTTTTCTCTCCCTAATTTTAATGAAAGCTGTTTGTCATTGACTATTCAAATTACCAAGTCAAGGTGGTCGAGACAATGGTCACTACTAAGTCGTCGACCAATTGTAAACGATATACACTAATCAAGTATTTTCAATTTTTGAATACCGCACATACTATTATCCTCTTTATAGTTGCAAAGTGTTATTATAGTATGATTCCATTGCATTCTGATATTGCCTTCTCGAAGTTGTTCTCTGAAAAAGCGACTATTATGTCCTGGATTACTACTCATTTGAAGATGCTTTATTTTTTGTTGCCTTAGAGCAATGGGCTAATAGTTTAGTGACTTATCTTTCAACCACTTTTTTACCGTATATTTGACTTAGCTTTGCATGTCAGGTTTTAGCAATCACTTTGCTCTATTAACAAACAAATTGTACTATTTAAAGCCGATTATATTATAGCTTTACCTCATTACTATCATACCTTATTATTATTTACTGATATTTCTGTTTGAAAAATAGGCGAGTAAACTACGCAGCCTCACTAACTGAGCATACATATGTAAAGCTATTTAGAAGACTTGTTTATTTTTATTCAGTATTTTATTAAAATTCTATATGAAATATCAAGTATATGAGGAAAGTTCAACTGTGTTATTTGTCTTTCAATATGTAAATAGCGTTTAGTACTCCAAGTCCATGTCTTTTTTATTTGCTTGTTTTTCAGGATCCCGCATTCGTAAAGAAGCTCAATTTAGCTCCAGATATCAGAGATGATTATGCTGAATTATTTCAAATTACACTATGGACTAGCATAGCACTGATTCTAGTTGTATGGGGCGTTTCTTGGGGTATCTGGAATATGGATCCTGGACGAGATGGGATTATCTATCGAGGTACAATGACAAGACCTAAACAAGACTAAACATTTCCTTTCTGTATCACAGATAAAATACAGAATCTTTCTAACATACAACTCAGCATAATTTAACTATTTATCGAGTGTTTCCAAGGGTTTTGTTTGATTTTTTTTAAACATTATTGAAATTTTTCGTTGTTGTGCTTTATAATGTTAAAAAAACATATTCATAAATCCACAATGTCTTATTTGTCTGTAACGTTTTAATGTTCGTTGAAATTTCTTTTATTATTTAATTTAAGTAAAGGTATAATTGATAAAAGTATCTAGTGTTTTCCTTTCAAATTGTTCCTGAGTTGTTTACTTAACATTGTTGATTGTTGTAATGTACAATCAATTTAATATCAATATATGATATGCATAAAAACTAACCGTTCTTTCGTTCATTATCAATATGACCAAATATGTTTATCCTGATTGGAACATTAAATCTGTCGAAGTTTACAGTTCAGTTTCCAGTACTTCTAAAATCAAAACTATATCACATTTGTCTAATTCATTTCCTGGGTAACATTAAAAATCTCCAATTATTTTAAGATTAAAAGGATATTCTTCATATAGTCTGATATGACTTTCGAGTCTGCATTCCTTAGAAATATAACTGTAAATCAGATTAAACAATTTTTATCTATCCTGGCCTTATTTTTAAGTATTATAATAATAAGAGAAATATAACATGTTTCTTTTTGTGAAATGCCACCGAATTCCCTGGTACAGCCGAGAGTGGGGAAAGTCCGCTCTCGAAATGCTCACATGGATACGCGTATATAGTCTCTGCCAGGGGAGTCCTACTCAGTGCCTTCTCGTGGTAGGGTTGTTGTTTACAAAATTGAGATGGCGAAAAGCGAATTCCCGGCGCTTTAACCGGGTTGGTGGATATGGAGAGTCCATCTAAAGAAGTTGAAAAACCCTGATTCCAAACCAATAGGTCACATAGGCCCCAGTATCCTGAGCGGGCAAAATGGCATATGAACCAATCGTTGGTCGCCGGCTACCATGGGACTGCATCTCCTTACAATGCTCCACTGCCTTGTAGATCAAACCTTTAGGTCGAAGGCTCCGGGTGTACCCCCCCCCAAGAAAACGACCTGCTTCGGTCTAGACACCCGGGCAGTATCATAGCCCTCACACAAATCAAATGAGAATTGTGTGGCGCATATGTATTTGGTGCCCCCTTTTACCAGGATTTATGTGTTCAAATCAATTTTGTGAGATTAGTATTTCGATCACCGTTAATATGAAAGTATTGTTTTCTAGTAGGTAATAAACATGCTTTTAAGTGCCTACTTTTCAAGTTGCATTTCATTCACTGTAAAAAATTTAACTCGAAACTATTAGATTATTAATTAGCAAAGACTGAGTGTATATTCAACTCAGTCTAATTTATCGCTTTAACAATATTTGCATTTACAAAATTTGCCAGGCTATGTGACCTAGGATGCTCATTTTCATGTGATATGGATTTCTAGAATGTCAACTATAAATTGGAAATTTAACTGTCAAGTAGAATAGGCAATTTTAAACCACAAGTTACTTAACAACAGTTTATTATTGTATTATCGAAAATACTCAGTATGAATCTCGGCTAACTAATGATTATCTATATTCTTACGTTAAAGGTCGACCCTCTAACTATCACGTCTTAAATGAATCAACCCAATCATAAGTCAGCGAAAATCGAAACAATATCGTAACACGTATTATGCATAATTATTACTCTTCGTTCATTCATCACATTGAATTGTGGGTCTCCAGTTTATTGTCAACTATCAGGTTTGCCTAATTTTTATCAACAATGTTTCTAAATCGATATACAACTTGACAAGTGAGGTTACAATAGTGATAATCATTATCCGGTTTGGGGTTTTGTGGCGATTGTAGTAAGTTAATACTTGAATTCATGAGTCGAATAAAGCCAGATCGCCTCTACGACAGACACGGTTGGACTAACACCGTTCAACGACGGCTCAGTGGTCTAAAGGTCAAGCATTCCCGTTTGGATGTCGTGGATGCGCGCTGCTGAGTCCCATACTAGGTTTTCCATGGTGATCTAGACTTAAATGATTCATGAATTTAACTACTAAATGATAATTATGCCAGACACCAAAGCCTTTCATCATATGATATTTGATTATTGATAGACACATTATCGATGAACGACTGGTGATTTTCTACCTGCAACATAGCTTCTTGATTGGTTAACTAAAATAACCTTGTGACACATTTAAGGTAAAACAAGTCTTTGTTCTATAACTAAAACGTACATTTTAAACGTCTCGCGTTCATAAACTAGTGTGTGGTTATTATTTTTCAATGTGTGATGATAATTGTGAAATAGTCTGAACAGTTTCTGAAATAAATATCCGAAATTGTAAACATAGATTTTGTCTGGATAATTTAAATATGAATACATGTTTTTTGTTTTACTATTTGTTGTTTTTTACTATTCCAATCATACGATCTAGGTTATAAACGATTGGTTTGTAAAATAAAGAATTAAACATATACAATCAAAACTCACAATGAAACACTAACATCCTAATTCAATTTGCATGTCACAAAAATGTTGAGAATAATATCAAAGTAACAAACATATCACACTGTATGAAAATGGTATTAGTTTCATAAAAAATTTCGTACTTCAACTATGCTTCTTATCATCAGATATAAAATTTCAGAAAAGTAAAATTTGTCTTCCTCGAATTGTCAGGTTTGCCAAATTATTTCTATGAATTATTTCCAAAATTAAAAAAAGCCTTCACGGAACGTCTGAACTGCAGAACTATCCAAATTGATTTAATAGTTTTATAGAAAATGTGTCATTTGTTAAAATGTTATACTAATTGGTGAAATGAATCACTGATCGTTTTTATACTGTATTCTGTAAATGCGAATTTGATGGGTTTAATGAAACAAAAAAATTTGAATGCATAGTCGACAACTGAAAGAGTCATTCAGACCTAATTCGTGCATATTATAATAATAAGTACTGAGCTCTTGCGTAAAATACATACATTAGTGTACACAAACATGTTACATGCCTGATTGTTTGAAATAGCAGTTATATAAGAACAATTCTATAATGGAAGGTGATAACTGAACATGATATTCAGATTTCGAATTCATGGTTTAATGAGTGACCAACAAAGCTCGTATCTTACAGTTACCTATGTTCTAACTTATAACCATCTTTATTTTAGTGATTAGAATTTGACATACATTTATGTCATTAAAAATAAACGAGTGATTGCTATACATCTTGATGCCCATTCATGTGGGTTTATCGCATTGCATATTTAGAACGGAAAATGTCCCTTCATCATCGAAAAGTCCAGTTTATGATGTTACTAAGGCTCTAATTTTCCTTGTTTATATAAATGCTAATACTACCGAAATACTCATCATTGCAAGCAGAAAAATATGGAAAGTGATTTAAACTACAATCTAAAGCCAAAGTTCCCAAAGATTAGTTATTTAGTTTGATCCTAAGCTGAGTTTTGAAATTGATAGTGCCTATATTCATTAATATCATAAAGGCTATAGACGGTCCTCATTATCCCGAAATGTCAAAATTAACGTTTGACTCTATGAGTAGCTGGATATCAATTAAACAGATATTTAGCACTTAAGAGCTTATCGACATTAAAGTGTAGGCAAATTTTACAACCGAAGATCATCTACGGTGATATCATCTGCAAAAATACAACATGAAAAAATGTACTACTTGTAGGTAGTATATCAAATAGTATACCAATCCCTCAGCATATCTACTGCGATAAAAGGATACCTGTCGTCAGGGCTATTGCCCTTCATGATGAAAACTGTTTAATCTATCTTAAACTACATTCTACTCTTGTTATTTGCATAATAAGACAGTTAAAATCACTGTGGAGCCTGGTACAAAAGTAATTTGGCCCAAGCTGCCATAAAACAATAGTAAAACGAGATCTGAATCCACCATCAGGCAGCATCAGTCCTCTCAAGATTAAAAGCATACTTTCCTGAACAGTACCAATTAGCACAAGGCCTAAGTTAAGGATTTCCCGTAGACTGCTTACAATCACCTGGCATCTGAATAGCGACAAAATCAAAACAATACCGTAGTAGTGGTTGTGCGAATATGTGTGAGAGAATACTTAAGCTGAATGCCTAGAGTAAGACAGAAAATTATTGCATCTGCACCACGGTAACTGATTTTGAGCTATTACATAAAACATCTCCAGTATATATCGGACCAACAGTCAGTGTGTTTTATAATGTGTATGAAGTAAGATGACGAAATGTTTTTGTTACAATAATTAAAGGTAACAGAAGGGTTAAAAATAAGTGATATCAGAAACAATTCTGGATAAACCCATGAGGATGAGACATTATTGACGAGGGGGATATTTTAAAATACGAAATAAAGTAATATTAAGGTCAAGGTAACGATAAGATGTGCTTATATTTGTACGCACAAGAGTGAGAGGAAAGTAGTTAGAAGTTTCATTCTTGAACATTTAATTGACATTTATTGCTCAACTGATCCACAGGTTGATTTGAATTTTGTTTATAAAATCCGTCAGAACCTACCTAGATCTCTTTGTATCAAACTCCTCAAAACAGAAGTAACTCTTGCCATTCATAAGTTAAAGACAGAACTGAACGTACAAAATAAATATGTCTTTATTATCACTACCATGGCTTTAAACTATAACTCACTTGATTACGCCTATTACGCCTAATGGAGCATAGGCTGCCGACCAGCATTCTCCAACCCACTCTGTCCTGGGCCTTCCTTTCTAGTTCCACCCCATTCTTGTTCATTTTTCTCATGTCTATTTCCATTTCCCGGCGTAATGTGTTCTTTGGTCCTCCTCTTTTCCTTTGCCCTTGAGGATTCCATATGAGGGCTTGTCTTGTGACGCAGTTGTGTGCTTTCCTCAATGTGTGTCCTATCCACTTCCAGCGCTTCTTCCTAATTTCTCCCTCCGCTGGGATCTGGTATGTTCTTTCACACAGTTGGTTGTTGCTAATAGTGCCTGGCCAACGGATCCGAAGTATTTTGCGTAGTCAACTGTTAATAAACACTTGTACCTTCTGAATGATGGCTTTCGTAGTTCTCCAGGTTTCCGCCCAAACTAATGATACAGTTATAACTAAAGGTCTAATGTAATGATCAGGTTTTTAAAATGTTTAGTAGAATAATGATTCAGTTTAATTCAGTCAATGTTCTCGATTCCGAGTCGTCCAGTCTTCCAGATGGACGAGCCCGTGTAATTTAAATTAACAATTAGAACTTTGTTCATTAAAGTTGTATTTTGTTTTGTCTGCATTCGAACTTGTAACCCATTCTCATTCTAGGCAACATTTCACATTCAGCCAAACAAAAGCCTGGCATAATTAACATATTTCATAACTGCTAGTCTGTCAAGCCCATTGACTGCGTATTTTACTTCGCTTACTAAAAGTCTACCATTGGACCCCAGGTTCTAAAAGATGGACTTAAATTATGATCTATGTGTTATGTACAATATCTGATTGATGTACAGAAAGAATAATTTATACTAGTGGGCCTTGTTGTTATCCTTAAGTGATAACTACGTTTGGAAACAAACTCTGTACTTCGAAACATCATGTTATTCTTTGATACTCCTATTATTTAACGGCTATATTAGAAGTTTGATGGAATTTTTACTTCGAACTTGTCACAACTAGAGAATCATTTCAAACTCATGAGTCTTGCTCAGCCATTTTATCGTAGATTGATACACTTCTACGGTGCACAACAAAACTACAAAAGATGTACGATGAAACCTTAGTTTTCTCATCGAAGACGACACCTTAGAACCAATAATTTTGAGTTTAGTGTTTCTCACCTTCAGTTTCAGTCAGTTTTTCGATACAGCACGATACTCATTCAATTTAATCGCTGGACGATTTCACAGATCATCTCAGAACTAATCACTAGTGGGTATACGATGATTACTTAAGTAATTTTGTAGGAATTGTTTTACAATTCGGGAGTGATTTTTATCACTAATTGATGCTAGCTAATACATTAAATAAATCAAAATTAAATAAATCCTGCTGTTTTTTACAGTCATTAGAAAACAAAGCACTTGTTGTAATCTAATAGAATATATGATGTTATTATAGATACCTGAAACTTTTGGTGAATTGTAGTGGTAACCAGTAGACAACCTCATGTCATTCTCTTCAATAGATTGGTGTGTCAGCTCATTCACCCTCAGTCTCGTGAACAATCTCATACATGAATAAGCGTTTATTTTTTGTATTATCAACGGTTTTATTTAATTATTTAGATAAGCTGAATTGATCAGGAGTCCTTCTTTCCAGTCTTTTGGTACTAGTTCCTCATCCCAAATCTTATTGAAGAGAATGTGGAATGTCCTTGCAGTTGCCGCTACGTCTGCTTTTAGTGCCTCTGCTGGAATGTTGTCTGGTCCTGCTGCTTTGCCACTCTTGATTTGTCTGATGGCCATGCTGATTTCTTCAGTTGTTGGTGGGCCAACGTTGATTGGGAGGTCCGTGAGTGCTGTTGGGTGGGTTCAGTGGAGCTGGTTGATTAAAGAGTTCTTTGAAGTGTTCTACCCACCCGTTTCGTTGCTCTTCAATGTTGGTGATTACCTCGCCTTCCTTGCTTTTCACTGGTCGTTCAGGTTTGCGGCGATTTCCAGAGAGTTTCTTTGTTATGTCATACAGTTGTCTCATGTTCCCTTCTCTTGCAGCCTTTTCCGCCGTCTTTGCTAGATCTTCCACATATTTACGTTTGTCGGTTCTGATGCTCTTCTTCACTTGTTTGTTTACTACTGTGTATTCAGCTTGTGCCTTGGCTTTTTCTGCTCTTGTTCGGCTGGTATTGATTGCTGCCTTCTTGTTCCTTCTTTCTTGAATCTTATCCAGTGTATCAATAGTGATCCATTCCTTTTGATGGTGCTTCTTGTGACCCAGGACCTCATGACATGTTGAAGTGATTGCCTCTTTGATCCCCTTCCAGTTGCTCTCCACAGTAGTTCCTTCTCCATTGAGTAGATCATGAAAGACCTGGAACTTGTTGCTGAGGACTATCTTGAATTTGTTAGTATCCTGAAGAAAGGCCGTATTGAACTTTTGTGATATTGTCCGCCCCGTTGTCCAGTGTTTCTTGAGTTTCAATTTCATCTTGGCGATCAGCAAGTGATGATCTGAGGCTATATCAGCTCCTCTCTTGGTTCTCACGTCCTCTATAGTCCTCCTGAATGTTTTGTCGATACAAATATGGTCGATTTGGTTTTGCGTGGTGTGATCCGGCGAAGTCCATGTGGCTGTAGTGGCTGTGCTTCGTTATTTAATCACCCTCGAACCGTTATCGTACAATCTTCAACGATATATGAAATCAGAAGGCAAAAAGAAGCAGCTACTACAGTTTTATTTAGTAGATAATTCGGACCAGACAGCAGAGAGGCAAAATGAATGAGCAAGCGAACTACGATTGAAGCAGTAGTAAGTAGCTGTAGTCAATGCGTGCAAAATGTACAGGTATATATATATGTATAGGAAAATAGGTGAGTCAGCGAATAGATTAAGCAGTTAATAATGAAGCTAGCAGAATGAATACATGCGTAGGCGCTAAACAATGTTCAAGCCTATGTATTTCATACAAGCATAATAATAAAGATAGTACAACAAGTTGTTATATCATGGATGACTTTGTCCATTAAATAAGTTAACAAAAGGGCTTAACTGAGTTAAATGAGAA